TTACTTGTGGTCCCGAAGCCAGAATACAAAATAACGGACTTACCACGATAAAAGAAAGGCGGAGCAAATAAGTCTCCAAAAAACGGCTGACAGCCAAAATACGAAATACTACCTACGACTGAAACAAATAACGAAACAGGGAGAACACTTCTCAAGTACCTGTACATAGGTCTCCGATCAGACACTGAGTAGTACTGCTGGACATAGAGAAAACGGCGCAAGGGAACACAGGGAAGTGAGGGCATAAATACACAGGTGAACAGGTAGAGACAGGTGACACCAATAGGATACTGATTAGTCCAGACTGTGAGTGAGGAGGTGCGTAAGGTTGTCGGAGGATGACACCTAGTGGGTCGCTCCAGAACTGCGACCCCCTCCTGTAACAGGTAGCCATGCTGGTTAAGTGTGCCTTGAATTCTAATTAAATCACAGACAGTGTCACCAGCAAAGCACCCCTACACCATAACACCTCCTCCTCCATGCTTTACGGTGGGAGATCATCCGTTTACCCACACCGCGTCTGACAAAGACACAGCGGTTGGATCCAAAAATCTCCTATTTGGACTTCAGACCAAAGGACACATTTCCACCGGTCTAATGTCTATTGCTCGTGTTTCTTGCCCCAAGCAGGTCTCTTCTTCTTATTGATGTCCTTTAGTAGTGGTTTCTTTGCAGCAATTCGACCATGAAGGCCTGATTCACACAGTCCCCTCTGAACAGTTGATGTTGAGATGTGTCTGTTACTTGAACTCTGTGAAGCATTTATTTGGGCTGCAATTTCTGAGGCTGGTAACTCTAATTTATGTATTTATTTATTTCACCTTTATTTAACTAGGTAAGCCAGTTGAGAAAAAGTTCTCATTTACAACTGCGACCTGGCCAAGATAAAGCCTAGATGAACTTATCCTCTGCAGCAGAGGTAACTGGGTCTTCCATTCCTGTGGTGGTCCTCATGAGAGTCAGTTTCATCATAGCGCTTGATAGTTTTTGCGACTGCACTTGAATAAACTTTTAAAGTTCTTGAAATGTTCCGTATTGACTGACCTTCATGTCTTAAAGTAATGATGTACTGTCGTTTCTCTTTGCTTATTTGAGCTGTTCTTGCCAAATATGGACTTGGTATTTCACCAAATAGGGCCATCTACTGTATACCCCCCCACCTTGTCACAATACAACTGATTGGCTCAAACGCATTAAGAAGGAAAGAAATTCCACAAATTAACTTTTAAGAAGGCACACCTGTTAATTGAAATGCATTCCAGGTGTCATCAAGGGCCTTCTATGCTGTATGGCAGACCAGTAACTTTTGCAACAATATTACGGTATTACAGTGTCCAATCGCACACAGGCTTTTATGGTCACACAAGGTGCCACCTGTGAATTAAAAATTAGTAGCCTTACAATTATTTACATGGCCCCAGTTCCATATGCAACCCAATAAGATTTGAGCAAAATAACCATAACATTTCAACTAGATAGGAAGTTGCCGTTATCAAAGATGATATTGCATTGAATCGAATTAATCAGATCCAATGATTTAGTCCGCTATTTCAGGTAGGCCTTCATCAGAGGATGGCAGAGGTCATTTTAAGCTGTATAGATGGGCTAAACTGCTAAAAAGTCCCTTGTAGTATTTTTATGAAGCCATATCATTTCAGTTCTAACAGCAGTATTAGGTAAAGCCACTTGAGCATGTTCAGATTTTTGGCCCATGCAGTCTGGCGTGCCACTGTTAGAACACTGACAATATGTGGAGGTCAGTCAAGTGGCCATTTTGTCCTCTTTATGTTAAAAGAGAGAATGGCAAAGGGCCAACAGCAAGGGCACAAGGAGCATAGCCTGTTCCCTATTACGCAACGAATCACTTGTCTTTAAGATTTTTGTTTGAGGTATTCGAAGGCATTACAAGCCCTTTGGAAGCACTCAACTTTATTAAGATAAAAGAAAAGCACACACTTGGAGGACTGAAAGTTCTACATTTTACATTTTAGTCATTTAGCAGACGCTCTTATCCAGAGCGACTTACAGGAGCAATTAGGGTTAAGTGCCTTGCTCAAGGGCACATCATCAGATTTTTCACCTATTCTAAAGCTTTATTGTCCATTTCAGGGTAAAAACAGAAAGATTAATATTCAGTTTTCACATGGTTTCAACAGCAGACACAGTGTATATACAGTACATAACAACACATCAAACACATAATATTTGGTGATTAAGCTGATGCAGGAGGAAATCAGGTCTATTTGTAAGAGAGGAGATGAGAAGAGAGCGCTGTTAACAAAGCTGTGTGGTGCTGGCTGGAGACCTTGTTGAGACTGGCGGAACAAACAGACAAGATCTAATGGGCAATAGGGTTAGAACAGCTGGGCTGAGGATGTTCCATCTCCTCACTCACCAGTGGACACTCATTCTTTCTGGGTTGCATCTCAATAGTCTAAAGTAGATTCCTTTCCTTGTCTCGTTTTCCTCACTCATGCATTTAATCACCTCATCAGCTATCTCAATCCACTACAGAAGCTTCCTCAAATGTTTTCCTTGTCTCCTGTCCTCACTCATGCACCAAGGGACATTCACTCACTCTTCTTGATGGGAATGCATTTTACATTTACGGCATTTAGCAGAGTCTCTTATCCAGAGCGACAAGGCTTAAGTGCCTTGCTCAAGGGCACTTCAGCTGATTTTTCACCCACTTAGCCCGGGGATTCGAACCAGCGACTTCTCGGTTACTGGCCCAACGCTCTTAACCACTAGGCACATTAGAAATAAATTCATGCATTTCATCCTCTGCTTCCACCCCTTGTCTCCTATCCTCCCGCACAGTGGCGTAGTGCAATTGCACGAGGCCCCCCGAAAGGTCAGCGCAAGTTTTAAAGAATATTTCCTGTAATTCTTAACATTTTGCCATGGCTTAAAATAAAATAAAGCTTGGGAGCCACTGATGGGGTGCATCTTACACGACTGCTCACGCACCAGAGGGCACTTACTCACTCTGGCTGTGGCTGTATCTCAATAATCTAAAATGGATTCCTACCATTGTCTCCTGTCCTCACTCACACACACACTACCCAGCACTCACTCTGTATGTATCTCAATCTACTAAAATTGTTTCCTCTCCTTGTCATTTATCTGCACTCTACCACTGGACTCTCTCTCTCTCTCTCTCTCTCTCTCTCTCTCTCTCTCTCTCTCTCTCTCTAAAAAGTTATCCCTTCCCTTCTGCTCTCATTCACTCCCCTTTGCAGATCGTAAATAGACCAGGTATGTTTTTCAAAATAGACCTGTCAGTGCTGATGGAGAAAAGGAGATTAGGAGAGGGTGCCACTGTAGACTATTGAGATGTGCCCTTCTAAGATGGCATAACACTGTCTACCTGTGAACCATAAACTGCCTGCTGAAATTGGCAAAAGCTTTTCATCACGATCTCCACTCCTCCCTCACAATTCACCAGTGTGGTGATATTGTGTTATTACAGATTTCTGCACTGTGTTGCTATCCACTCAGAATCAAACCACATATTTTTACTTGCTGTCCTATTGTGTCTTCCATCCAATCAAGAGAAAACTAAATGAGAGAGGAGGATGAAGCGATTAAAATAGTGAGGGTGAGAGGGTAGAGGAGTGAAAGATGGAGAGAGCGTTGCAGTGTGAGAGTGAGGTCATGAGAATTAGGACAGAGAGATGGAATGAAGGGATGAGAGGTTGAGGAAAAAGACATGAGGGAGTGAGGATGAGGTATTAAAGAACAGAAGAGTGAGGGACTGACGAGAGAAACTAGGGAGAAGGTGAAAGGATGAGTGAACGTTCAGTGATGTTGAGCTAGGTGTGTTTTAGGTGCACTAAATGCAAATACCTGCATGATATACTGATGATAATGTTGCCTACATTTTATGCTCTCGCTCCTTTTCCCGTTGCTAACTCTTTCTATTAATCCTCACTGTGTTACTGCTGATAGAAAATAAATACAGTTTATAGGTTATGTTGTCCTCACAAGAAGGGCCTCATATGGAACTTGTCTGACTTCATTCTAAGTGGGTGGAGAGGTTTTATTCATGGGCTTTTACATCCTAGGTCTGAATTCAACCCATATAATGATCATCAGAATTTAATGAAGGGTTAAATAGACCTCAAAGACGATGTCTATTCTTGTAGGTACTGCTTTCTGCTTCCATATGCTTTAAGGTGACAAATGTTTGCCAAGGAGTTGAATGGGTGGAAATCAACCTCTACCTCGTTACGAAACAAACCAATTGAATTATGCCAGCTAATTTGTGGGTGGCATGCGGTGACACACCTTGAAAGTTTCATCTCAGAGTTGAGGCTCTCCAAACAAAGCTTCAAGTTGCAATTTAAGGGACTCCCAGTCCCAGGCCTCTGCTTTTCCAGCATCCTCTGCTTCCTTGTCACCTAATGAGCTTAACCAATCAGCAATCTGGGTTCAGATGCCTTGGAAGGCATGGCAACAGAGCTTGAGGTTACTGAGGCAGAAAGGTACAAAGAAGTGGAGAACAGATAAACTACAAGCTCTCACAAACACACACACAAGCAGTGTGTTGGTGTGTGGAGAACGACAGATCAACTGTTCCTCAATCAATCAAATTTGATGTGTATAGTTCTTTGTGCAAATAATCTGGGCCTAGATTCCCAACAAGCAAGCAGAGGCAGCAGTGGCAAGGAACAACCTCCAAACGGCACTAGGCTTAAGAGAGGGAGGCCATTCTCTTCTGGCTGGCTTACACACAAGTGTAAGAGTTCTTCACGGTGAGAGTAAAGTAGTACAGCAGCTGATGGTTAAAGTGCATTGCTACTGCCTTCCTGAGACCTAGAAGTACTGTCACCCTGGATGGCTTAGCTTTTCTTGGTCAGTGGTGGGCTATTTCTAGGCTATTGCTAGTGCTTCTTGTTTCTTACAGTGCAGAGGGTTATAGGAGTTTGCGCCCTGGTCAGGCGGAGATAATGTTATAATGTGATCATGTTTGGATCTATTGGTTTGGAATGTTAGTGTTCGGCAAAATTGCCAGCATCCTCTTCACTGTCCTCATCAGCATCTTCCGTTACCAGAAGCTCCGAGATCCTGAGACGAGGGGCAACTTACCCATCTTTCTGGACAACATCCAGTCAGCCTGGGCTGTGAGTGGGTTGTGTGTGATGCTAGCCATACTCCTGGGAGCTCCTACCCATCTCATGAACCTGGACGGTCATATGGATAACTATACACATGACGGCGGCTGCCCTCCAGACTTCTTCCAGTGTCCCAAGGAGAACTGCCCGACCATTAACCAAGTCCACAAGTACCTTTTCATCCTGCTCTGCAACCTGCTGCTTCTATTCATCGTCACAGCCACCAGAAGTCTCATTGTAAAGGTCTGTAACCCCCATCGAGTCGGAGAAGTTACCCCTAACCCCTGATCCAGGGTCAGATATTTCTTTATCCCTCTAGTCTAATGGTTTATAAGGTCAGTTTTGGGGGTAGAGTAATCTGATTACAGATCTGTGGTCTTTGACCACACTTTTCTCAGGGGTGTCCAGCTGACACAGTGTCTTGGTATGTGTTTGTCTCACCTCCTTTAGTTGAATGCACCTACAGTATTATAACTCATTATATAGTAAAGAAGTCCAGTATGTAGATACTGTGGTCCTCTGTAGCTCAGCTGGTAGAGCACGGCGCTTGTAACGCCAAGGTAGTGGGTTCGATCCCCGGGACCACCCATACACAAAAAATAAATGTATGCACGCATGACTAAGTCGCTTTGGATAAAAGCGTCTGCTAAATGGCATATTATTATATAAAAGTCAGCTAAATGTTGGTGCACCAGGTGCTGCTGGGGTAGAGGAGGGTGGTGGTGCCAGCGCTAAGTGCAGCAGGGGGGCAGCCTCCGAGAAAGAAGGGGTTGAGAGGAGCACGGTGGGCATCCTGGCAGCCATGGGGTTGGACCCTCTATTTGGTCCTCTACCTGGCCTTCAGCCCCTACGACTTCCCCTCCTGGTCCGAGGTGGAGTTCTTCATCACCACGTCTTGTACCACCATCAGCCCTTATGTGTATGGGATAGGGAGTAACCTGTTTTCTCTGAAACACTTTAAGAGGTAATGGAAGAAAACAAAAACGTAGGCTTAGGTGTTAGAAGCAATCTATTTTCTTGGAGGCTCTGGTATGTTAGGAGTGCAGTATTAGTATGGGATAGGGAATAACTTGTTTTCTCTTAAACATTTAAAGAAGTTGAGGCTAATTTATCAACCCTAGGTGTTGTTAGGTGTAGGTGATTGTCTATTTTCTTGGAATTAATTTTAAGAAGTAAAAGCCCAATTCTAGGAAGTAAAAGCCACATTTCTGGATAAGGGTACCTTGAAAACACTTGCAATAGCAATGGTGCAGCCTCAATATGAATATGCTTGCACTAATTGGTACAAACTATAAAACAGCACACAATAAAATGGCATGGGTGATACTGAATCTGAGAACTCCAGTGGCTAACGGTTGATAAAAGGGTCATTCAATTGAAGTTGGGATTGACCCACAACATCTTATATGGCACAGTCCCCCAGTATCTGGAAAAATATTTTACTTCAGTTAGGGACTCTTATTCGAACGCCACGAGAAGCAGTGCCATAGACTTTGTGCCATGTCAATTTAAGAGTTGTACTGGTCAGAACACTTTTTTATATATACGGCAGTGGTAGAGTGGAAAAAACTACTGGCTGCAATTAAAACCGTTTCTGCCAGTCATAGGTTCAAACACTCCTGCAAGGCTTGGTTAATGATGAGATAACGTTTTAGTGTTAACAACCCCCTAAAAAACAAAAACAACTCTGCGCTAGTAGAGTTATTTGTTAGGCGTGTATATTTGCTTTTTTTAATACTGTGTATGTAAATATTTGACCTTTGGTTGAACGTATAGCACAGAGTGCCCATAACACTTGACTTTGCCCTACAGCCCTTGCCTACCAATAGAGGACCACAATGGAAACAAGTCTCTTTACTTTTTTGTTGATGTATCCTCAAAAACTTTGGTATCTGTTGCCTGGTGTAACATTTTATATATTTTAAATGGTCAAATGAAATCATAGTGGGAACTATCAGCCATGGTGTGCTATGAACATTTGTTTTTGAAGAAATTGAGATTTTGGTTGTTTTGGATACTTTAAACCATGTACTTTATTGTAATGTGAAAATATGTTATGGTTACAGGAGGTAAATAATTCATTTATAAGGTTTTTCGACAAGTCAGCCAGGAAGATGCCCAATATGAAAACGCATTAGCTCAAATTTCCACTGGTGAGTGTCGTAGCTGACTGGCCCATTCAAGATAACATGCTACAGATCAATGAAAGTAATTAGCTAGCAAGGTAGTAATGCTGTAATATAAAGCTGTCATTACAATAAATTATGTAGTTATGAACACAAATGGGTCGGATTTTCATATTGTCAAGCAGCCGTAGGTCTAGCCCAACCAGCCCGACAGATTGCGCTATTATTCCATTTATGTTGTTTGTCATCTGCGTCCAACTAGACTGTATGCAGCCGGCTACACTTGTGTCCAATGTTCCCTCTAAATTTTTGGTCTTGTGATCGGAAACTTGAACTTCAAATGGAGCAAATCCCATAACATTTTCACATGGAAATAGCTTTTGATTTATATGATGTAGCCTATGTGTGGTGTTCAATACAGGCGTACATAGTGCGCATGTTGATTTTGTCCACCCACACCAGACGCGATCAGGACACGCAGGTTGAAATATCAAAACGAACTCGGAACCAACTATATTAATTTGGGGACAGGTCAGAAAGCATTAAACATTTATGGCAATTTAGCTAGCAAGCTTGCTGTTACTACCTAATTTGTCCTGGGATATAAACATTGGGTTATTATTTTACCTGAAATGCACAAGGTCCTCTACTCCGACAATTAATCCTGGACTGGAGTGTGGACCTCAGTTCATCTTTCAATCACCCACGTGGGTATATGCTCCAAAAAAACAATGAGGAGATGGGAGAGGCGGGATTTGCAGCTCATCAGGCGTCACAAATATAATCAAGTTCTATTTTAGCGCCAGGCTACGCAGACGCTCGTTGACGTGCGCGAGCAGTGTGGATGCAATGATGATATGATATGTGTACATTTATTTTGCAATGCTCGCACACGCGACGCGGGCGGTATGGTCAGCATGTAACAGTAACCTAATGTAGCAGGCGTAAAAGAAATGCCTGAAATTAGATCATCTACATACTGGACTTCACAACAAGAAGAAAAAAAATGTCAGGGGAGGTTCTCTTCTGCACTATTCAACCAATCCAGTAAATGTGAAGGAGGAGTTAAGATGGAGATGATAAAAAAAGACAATCAGTCTTTACCTGGCTAAAAGAGAAGGAATATAATATATATTGTTTACAGGAAACTCACTCTACAACTATAGATGAGGTTGTGCGGAAAATCAAATCAAATCAAATTGTATTTGTCACATGCGTCGAATACAACAGGTGTAGTAGACCTTACCGTGAAATGCTTACTTACAAGCCCTTAACCAACAATGCAGTTTTTAAGAAAAATAATACTTAAGAAAAATATTGACTAAATAAACTAAAGTAAAAAACAATAATGAGGCTATATACAGGGGGTAGCGGTACCAAGTCAATGTGCGGGGGTACACGTTAGTCGAGGTAGTTGAGGTAATATGTACAGTACCAGTCAAAACTTTGGACACACCAACCCATTCAAGGGGTTTTCTTTATTTTTTACTATTTTTACTATTACATTGTAGAATAATAGTGAAGACATCGAAACTATGAAATAGCAGATATGGAATAATGTAGTAACCAAAAAAAGTGTTAAACAAATCAAAATACATTTTATATTTGAGATTCTTCAAAGTAGCCACCCATTGCCTTGATGACAGCTTTGCACACTCTTGGCATTCTCTCAACCAGCTTCATGAGGAATGCTTTTCCAACAGTCTTGAAGGAGTTCCCACATATGCTGAGCACTTGTTGGCTGCTTTTCCTTCACTCTGCAGTCCAACTCATCCCAAACCATCTCAATTGGGTTGAGGTTGGGTGATTGTGGAGGCCAGGTCATCTGATGCAGCACATTTACATTTAACTCATTTAGCAGACGCTCTTATCCAGAGCGACTTACAGTTAGTGAGTGCATACATTATTATTATTATATATTTTTTTTTCATGCTGGCCCCCCGTGGGAATCGAACCCACGACCCTGGCGTTGCAAACACCATGCTCTACCAACTGAGCTACATCCCTGCCAGCCATTCCCTCCCCTACCCTGGACACCCCATGGGTCTCCCGGTCGCGGCCGGCTACGACAGAGTCTGGATTCGAACCAGGATCTCTAGTGGCACAGCTAGCACTTCGATGCAGTGCCTTAGACCACTGCACCACTCGGCAGCACTCAATCACTCTCCTTCTTGGTAAAATAGCCCTTACACAGCCTGGACGTGTGTTGGGTCATTGTCCTGTTGAAAAAGAAATGATAGTCCTACTAAGCCCAAACCAGATGGGATGGCGTATCACTGCAGAATGCTGTGGTAGCCATGCTGGTTAAGTGTGCCTTGAATTCTAAATAAATCACAGACAGTGTCACCAGCAAAGCACCCCTACACCATCACACCTCCTCCTCCATGCTTCACGGTGGGAACTACACATGTGGAGATCATCCAATCACCCACACTGCGTATCACAAAGATACAGCAGTTGGAACCAAAAATCTCAAATTTGGACTCCAAAGGACATATTTCCACCGGTCTAATGTCAATTGCTTGTGTTTCTTGTCCCAAGCAAGTCTCTTCTTCTTATTGGTGTTCTTTAGTAGTGGTTTCTTTACAGCATAGTTTTGATGTCTTCACTACTATTGTACAATGTAGAAAATAGTAAAAATAAAGAAAAACCCTTGAATGAGTAGGTGTGTCCAAACTTTTGACTGGTACTGTACCTGTAGGTAGGGGTAACGTGACTATGCATAGATAATAAACGGCATCAGCGTAAATAGTCCGGGTAGCCATTTGATCAGCTGTTCAGCAGTCTTATATCTTGGTGATAGAAGCTGTTAAGAAAAAGGTCTGGGAGGGAGAAATTTATTTCTGTCATGGGCAAAGAAGTTCAAAAGGGGTGATGATATTAATTAACAATCATTTCGATCCTAATGTGCAAATTTTCCAAACAGACCCGCAAGGAAGGTGGATCTTTTAAAAATGCTAGTGGACAATATACAATGTTTTCTCATTAATCTATACGGTCTTAATAATGATGATCCACACTTCTTTGAAAATATACATAGATAACAATCTACCTACAGTGGGGAAAAAAAGTATTTAGTCAGCCACCAATTGTGCAAGTTCTCCCACTTAAAAAGATGAGAGAGGCCTGTAATTTTCATCATAGGTACACGTCAACTATGACAGACAAAATGAGAAAGAAAATTCCAGAAAATCACATTGTAGGATTTTTTATGAATTTATTTGCAAAGTATGGTGGAAAATAAGTATTTGGTCAATAACAAAAGTTTCTCAATACTTTGTTATATACCCTTTGTTGGCAATGACACAGGTCAAACGTTTTCTGTAAGTCTTCACAAGGTTTTCATACACTGTTGCTGGTATTTTGGCCCATTCCTCCATGCAGATCTCCTCTAGAGCAGTGATGTTTTGGGGCTGTCGCTGGGCAACACAGACTTTCAACTCCCTCCAAAGATTTCCATGGGGTTGAGATCTGGAGACTGGCTAGGCCACTCCAGGACCTTGAAATGCTTCTTACGAAGCCACTCCTTCGTTGCCCGGGCGGTGTGTTTGGGATCATTGTCATGCTGAAAGACCCAGCCATGTTTCATCTTCAATGCCCTTGCTGATGAAAGGAGGTTTTCACTCAAAATCTCACGATACATGGCCCCATTCATTCTTTCCTTTACACGGATCAGTCATCCTGGTCCCTTTGCAGAAAAACAGCCCCAAAGCATGATGTTTCCACCCCCATGCTTCACAGTAGGTATGGTGTTCTTTGGATGCAACTCAGCATTCTTTGTCCTCCAAACACGACGAGTTGAGTTTTTACCAAAAAGTTATATTTTGGTTTCATCTGAC